CCAATTTGTTAAACTTAAGTCGTATAATGTGGCAGATTATAACGTATGAGGCAGATAAGTCTAAGTCGATTGGATGATTGGCATACGTTCACATTCTGTGAAAATTACTTGAATTTCCCCCACAGTGTCTCCTATACATCTACGTCATGGGTATATCATTACCAAATGGGAAAGATATTGGGTAAATACGTACGCGTAGCTCTCATTTATTCATCTAAACAATTCTCCCATGCATTGTTAGCATTAAGTTTAATTTTACAGAGCCTCTGGTCGAAATAAATGTAAGACCTTACGTATGAATTCCCATTTGGAACACCCCGACCCGATTATAGTTCAGGTGTTCGTAATGATGATTTCCGTCTGTTCAGCGTAATAAATCAAGAGACATATTTTATATAGATACTGAAACAATACATTAGAAATGTAGACTCAGTTGCTGAAATTAATTTGCATATTGAAATCAGTACATGTTTTTTTTCTACATTTTGACCATAATTGTGATCCCCAAAAAATCATTATATAAACACAAATGCTAAACAGGTTGTGATTTGTTTTTCTTATTAGAAAATGTCTCCCTTAGAAACCAAAACGTTTTGTGATCTGTTGTTACATTTTTTCTTATAAATATATAAGCATGGACTTTGCAATAGGCAACAGTAGGACACAGTAGGACACAGTAGGCCACAGTATGACACAATAGGACACAGTAGGACACAGTAGGACACAATAGGCAACAGTAGGACACAGTAGGACACAATAGGACACAGTAGGACACAGTAGGCCAAAGTAGGACACAGTAGGCCACAGCAGGCCACAGTAGGACACAATAGGACACAGAAGGACACAGTAGGACACTTTTGTATGCTTGCAATGATATATTTGTTTCAGGTTTGTAAATTCCACAATATTTGTTTCATATTTGAATATTCCTTGATATTATTTGATATTTGTTAATACCAAAATATTGGTTTCATATTTGTTAACTCTGCCTTACAATACAAAAAAAAATATTTGATTGTAGACTCTATATGTCAATTTCATATACTGACAATCATAATAATTGATTGTTTAAAAAATATAGGTTTCTTCTCGCCCCGATTAGGACGTATCGATAACTATACGATACAGGTTCTTGTGACAACAAGCGTTGTTTGTTATATAATTCCAAGTTTTCAGTTTGCACTTTGTTACAGGTTCTGTGATTGGCTCATACAATGTAGTAGCACATGTGACCCAAAAAAACAGCTGTTGATATTTGTATGAACGGCTGTTTTTCTAATGGACTAATTATAAAAAAAAATCAAATCCCCATTTTTCAGTATTGTCGTTCGAGTGGCCTCCCATTGCAAAAACTAAACTCCCCGAGAGAAAAAAAATGCAAGATCTACTGTTTATCATTAAGATTTTGTTATTGTATCTTTGTCTTATTTTTCATTATTTTAAATATTATAAGTTTTAAAAGATATAACCTTAATCTACAGTTGACAATACTCACAGAAGTTACAAGTTCTGTCGTCTGACCTAAATCGAATCAGAACCCAAATCGGATCACTGTTTGCAAAAATACTTTGAAATCAATAAATATGTCAACAGATCAGTTATAACAATGATGTATCCTTAGAATAGATAGCCATGCACCATTTTTTGTCTACAGATGATTAATGTTTAAGTTCAAGTAGCATCATAAAACGTAATTAAAACTAAAAAATCAGTGTTTTGTTTACGTTTTTAAAAGATGGCGCGTGCGACGACTATGCATTCTGTTTCGGACTATAGGAATAAGTTGACCCTATAGAAATACTTATAAATTCTGAATCTCATCATATAAAGTTACTATGCTGACAAAAAAAATATTCGTTTGAAGTGTAGGGTCCTGACATTCGCAAAAACTGGAAACGCTGATTGGTGAAGTCAGAGCGTTCTATAAATATCTTGCGTGAGCCCGGGGTTCGTTTGTAAGAACACCCATCGATATTCTTCCTTTGATACAACCATATATTAATATAATTCATCCCCAGATTTTTCAATGAATGAATAAAATGATGGTTTGGCAATCCGTTTTCTCCGTAAACGATACATGTATCAATCTGATAAAGCTCAAACTGACAATATTATATATAGTGGCGATTTAAGGAATTAAGGAATTAATCTGGATGTTTCCAACATTAGAAAGTATCAACTTAAATTAACCTTACACATATACTGTATTATTCATGAATGTCCACGAACATGACGAACGCGGCATGAAAGCACAAAGCCTGTGCCTATACTCACGCCGCACAACCGAACCCCGGGGTTGGAATTACGACACATAATGTTCCTTCCATTACATACGAATTAAAGTTCTTTCATATGTTTTATCCATGATTGACCCATGACACAAAAAACGTAACGTAATAAACACCGCTTTCCGCAAACCGGGTGTCAACCCCGGCCTTTCAGGGCCGTTCTCCAGAATCATCATCCCTCGACTTCAACGTACACTGTTGTTAACTTTCTCTATGTACATTCGCAAATTAAACCACTGTTTTTGAAGCGGCCGTGGGAAAATGTTCACGTGAATTAGTTTCGAGATCCCCGAAATGACGTGGCGATGTTACGTCATATTACTACACTAAATTTATGAAGAATGAAAAAAGTTCGTAATTTAAATGATGTTTTTGGTTTCCCTTTCCATTGATAGTGATTTAGTATTATAGGGATTGAATCTGGATTTTTCCAGTGTTCATGCAAGTATGAACGGGTACGGGTACAAATTTACTTACACACCTCAAATGAACGGCCTTCGCTTCGCTACGGCCGCTCATTTAGTGTGTAAGCAATTTTTTCCCCGTTCATACTTTAATGAACAATGGAAAAATCCAGATTCAATCCCTATGTACATTGTATGAATTATCAACAAAAGCTACATTATAACACGCTACAATTGGTTTTACTCTCGAGCTTCTCATATCCAAATATCTTACCAGTTTTTCTGGCATCAATTTACCTGTATATGGGCTTTTTATGCACCCTTTTAATACAAAATTATCCAATTAATCCAGCCGACTAACAAACACGCCAGTTTTGCTGGGAACGAAGGTGACAGGATTGCCAATGCTCCAACGTATTGTAAGCTTTATTTGAATATATGACGTTTCAAATAGCAGATGAGTGAAAAGGATAAGTGCGTTAACACATTCTGCCCTAGCGAGACCATAACTCGATATTGAACCGATTTACAGAGACAGACATCAAATGTGCTATTTCTTTGTGCGATGTGAAGATCAAAGTTTACTTTGTTAGGCTCATAGGTGTACCTTGTGTTTGTTTGTCACTACCGGAACAATCTTTGTGAGGACGTGACGTCACTCTGATGTCACATGACGGGTGTCATCAATGAAGCAGAAGCGCTTACCCTTCCGGAACACATGATCTTATTCTCCGTGTCTTTTTTTCATGGAACTCCATGTAAATCTTACCTTTGTTAGCTTTGCGTTCTGAAGTAGGTTTTCATAAAAAATGATATATACAGAATATCTAAAAGGTTTTTTTCTGTAATACTGAATATGTTTAACGAATGTGGCTATTATGTTGATGGATGCGCACATTATTCACTAGTTTGATCGATTTAAGTTCGAATATGATGGTTTGATTGACACTTCGTCATGCGCATGTTCCTTTTAATGGAATAATTAATTTTGCATGTGAGGGGTTTGGAGTGCGCTGGATGAGATTTTGAGTTAGATAGAGAACAATGCTATTCGTATGGATAGCAAATACACCGAATTCTGTTATTATGTAACATAAATGACGGGTTTCAAATATGTACATAAACTACATGTTTGTGAAAGGTAATACTTGTATGGTACGTAATCTGTAGCCGTCCTTAAATTACCATAGCTGTTGATAGGACGTTGAACAATACTAAACCAAACCAAACCTAACCGTAATCTGTAGCTCAACGTACATAATCCTGTCACACCTCCCAATGTTGTTATATAATAACAGACGTCAATGTATCCCCGACCTTTGTATAACCAGGAACATATGTAGACAGGACTGTTCCGTCGTTTGACCTTCTAGTACGACCTGTGAGTCTTAAAAGGACAAAAGTGGCCATACAATGTACGTTGCTGTAATACGTTAACTTTGGCTTACTGCATCGACAAACTAAATGTTCAAAGAGGTGTTTCTTTTCATCGAATTTCTTTTTAGTAACATAAGTGAGTACAGCGATAGTGACGACATAATCCTGATTTCACATTGATGTTTCACAAACAAATTGTATGTTTTAAAAAGTAGGTGAAGTGTAGTTACATTGTCGCGGTAGTACTGATAGTGACGTTTATTAAAAAAGGAAAATGTAATTCACGGAGAAAATACCAATACGCTCTGACAGGGGATTGTTACTCTAGAGTATATATAGTAAAGTATAATAAATATTGAATAATGGCGAATGATAAGACTTTTGGTTTATAAGGGATTACCAGGGTTTGTGTATGCAAAATGTGTTTAAAAACATTTGATTAAAGGGTGTGTTTTTTTATAAAGTGTAATGTTTAAAAAAAAAAAGACTTTTACACTTCAATTTCAAAAGAGTTCTAACAAAAGCTAAGAAACATATGAAAAAATATATTTTCAATTATTTCGACTGGTGTAGCTAGCAGATGGTACATTTGGAAAGTACTTTCCATTTATACTAATCAGGTTATTTGAAATTAATAAATAAATTTAATAAGAGTGTTTAAAAAGAGTACATCTTTCCCTTTATCATCAACAACATATTAATAAGTCTGATTTAACACTTCAGAATCGTCCAATCAAACAGGTAAAATATCGTTATACTCACATTTTTGTCAAGTCAAATGTTGGCGTTATAAAAGATTTGGCGATGTATTGTGGGATACATATAAATACATATATGAAGGAATTGTGAAGAAGATATGAGCATGGGACCATGAACTATGTAAACGGCATTATATCAAGGTTAGTACTGTACATCATGGTATTTGCTTCAGATCACAGATGCCATGGTTGACACACACAAAGATGACAGTCAAAAGAGGGAGAAGATACGACAGATCCTAGGTGACTGTCGAAGAACTCTGGCAGCATTTGATCGTGCCGAAAAGCCTGGCCAAAAAGGCAAGCGGGGGAGTCAGGCCATCGAAGATTTGCTGAAGACAGAGGGCGCTGCCAAAGGATTCGAAATAGATTTCAAAGAACAGATCAGTTCTATACAGAAAGGCGAATGCGTGATTGTCGTATCAGGTAAACGCTATTTTTACGGTATTAATTGTCATTGCGTTATTTGTGGTAAATACAGCACGAGTCATTGGAACCAGAGTTTCAAACGTTTTCGCCATAGTTGCGAAAAAGGAGAAAGTTTCGTTTGTTTCTTATTTTAACAGAAGATCTGTTGTCTCGTTCATCCCTAAAGTAAAATTTGAACCTTACCAAATCAATAAATGGGCAAGTCCAGTTTAGATATGTAGGGGTGAATGAGTTTATGTTCTCTGAAGTTTAGATTTCATTCATATATTTGTGAAATAGAATTTTTATATGCAATTGCTGATTTATTATATTAATAAAATATATTCTTATTTTCATCAAATTAATTGTTATCTAACAGGTGAAACATCAGCTGGAAAATCGAGCGTGCTTAACCTTTTGTTTGAAAAAGAGGTGCTTCCGGTTCATCACAACAGCTGTACTTCCGTTATCACGAGAATATCGTATGGTGAAGAGTATAGGTCGACAGTCATTATGAACTCCGGAGAAGTGAAGACTTTCACTGACCCCGATCGCATCAAAGAAGACCTATGGAAAATGATATATGTAAAAGACGAAGCCGGACGGGACATGGTTTCCGAGATCCAAGAAGTCAATATGAAAATACCTGCAGCTATTCTAAAGGTGAATTTTCTGCTGGATCGATTAGATATGACGTCATCAGTGCTGTACTGTATTGCAGGCCACTTTGCTATTATCTCATTCATCTTAGCCTATGGTTCATGCTGATTTTTCTCTTGCATTTGACGTATGCATGCATGAAAATGACTTAAGTTCTCACTTATTTTTATATAAAATACCTCATTTACACCTGTCAACCATGATCATTGAATTCAAGTTCCACCGTTTGTCTTATCGCCTTAGAATAATTTTCTTTTTTAAAGTAAAGAAATCATCCAATGCATTTTGTTTAAACTATTAAAGATAATGACGTCTAATGCACTTGTCCGTTTAGCTAAAGTAAGTAGTTGCATGTGTTAATTTAAATTTATATTTTTTATATGGTTCCTTTGATTGAATGTAGGACAATTAGTATATCTACATATATATCTACGTTATTGTCATGGTCACATCAGTGATAATCGTTAAATAGTAGAAAACAGTGAGCTAGTTTGGATGTAACTGTTTTAATCGTCATTCTGAACAAGGCGGTTTCATTTTCGTTGCAGTGTGGAATTGTTTTTGTGGACTCGCCCGGAATAGGCGAAAACGAGGCCATGGACAGCGTCATTGCTAATTACGTAGAAGAGAATGAAATCATGGGATTTATGTACGTTATCAAGTCCGACAACTCTGGGGGTGTGGAGGAGGACAGGGTAAGTGATTCTGTATTCATATTTACAGATTATTCCGAACAAGTATAAATAAGCCCGAAATGTCCGCAATTTCTCACAGATGCGAAACTAAGAATAAGTATTCGACACCTAGCTGTGAGACTGGGGAGGGGAGGGGGAAGGGGACACCTAGCTGTGTGACTGGGGGGGAGGGGTTAATACCTAGCTGTGAGACTGGGGGAGGAGAGGGGTTAATACCTAGCTGTGAGACTGGGGAAAGAGAGGGGTTAATACCTAGCTGTGAGACTGGGGGGAGTGAGAGGGGTTAATACCTAGCTGTGATACTGGGGGAGGAGAGAGGTTAATACCTAGCTGTGAGACTGGGGGGAGAGAGGGGGGTTAATACCTAGCTGTGAGACTGGGGGGGGCGAGAGGGGTTAATACCTAGCTGTGAGACTGGGGAGAGAGAGAGGGGTTAATACCTAGCTGTGAGACTCGGGGAGAGAGAGGGGTTAATACCTAGCTGTGAGGCTGGGGGAGAGACAGGGGTTAATACCTAGCTGTGAGACTGGGGGAGAGAGGGGGTAATACCTAGCTGTGAGACTGGGGAAAGAGAGGGGTTAATACCTAGCTGTGAGACTGGTGAAGAGAGAGGGGTTAATACCTAGCTGTGAGACTGGTGGAGAGAGAGGGGTTAATACCTAGCTGTGAGACCGGGGGAGAGAGAGGGGTTAATACCTAGCTGTGATACTGGGGGAGGAGAGAGGTTAATACCTAGCTGTGAGACTGGGGGGAGAGACGGGTTAATACATAGCTGTGAGACTGGGGGGAAAGAGGGGTAAATCCCTAGCTGTGAGACTGGGGGAGAGAGAGGGGTTAATGCCTAGCTGTGAGACTGGGGGAGAGAGAGGGGTTGATACCTAGCTGTGAGACTGGGGGAGAGAGAGGGGATAATACCTAGCTGTGAGACTGGGGAAGAGAGGGGGTAATACCTAGCTGTGAGACTGGGGAAGAGAGGGGTTAATACCTAGCTGTGAGACTGGGGGGAGAGACGGGTTAATACCTAGCTGTGAGACTGGGGGGAAAGAGGGGTAAATACCTAGCTGTGAGACTGGGGGGAAAGAGGGGTAAATACCTAGCTGTGACACTGGGGGAAGAGAGGGGGTTAATACCTAGCTGTGAGACTAGGGGGAGAGAGAGAGGGGTTAATACCTAGCTGTGAGACTGGGGGGAGAGAGGGGTTAATACCTAGCTGTGAGACTGGGGAAGAGAGGGGTTAATACCTAGCTGTGAGACTGAGGAAGAGAGGGGTTAATACCTAGCTGTGAGACTGAGGAAGAGAGGGGTTAATACCTAGCTGTGAGACTGGGGGGAGTGAGAGGGGTTAATACCTAGCTGTGAGACTGGGGGAAGAGAGAGGGCTTAATACCTAGCTGTGAGACATGGGGGTAGTGAGAGGGGTTTATACCTAGCTGTGATACTGGGGGGGAGAGAGAGGGGTTAATACCTAGCTGTGAGAGTGGGGGGAGAGAGGGGTTAATACCTAGCTTTGAGACTGGGGGAGTGAGAGGGGTTAATACCTAGCTGTGAGACTGGGGGGAGAGAGGGGTTAAAACCTAGCTGTGATACAGGGGGGAGACAGAGGGGTTAATACCTAGCTGTGAGACTGGGGGAGAGAGGGGTTAATACCTAGCTGTGACACTGGGGAGAGAGAGAGGGGTTAATACCTAGCTGTGAGACTGGGGAAGAGAGGGGTTAATACCTAGCTGTGACACTGGGGGGAGAGAGAGGTTAATACCTAGCTGTGAGACTGGTGGGAGAGAGAGGGATTAATACCTAGCTGTGAGACTAGGGGAGAGAGAGGGGTTAATACTGTCCCTAGCTGTGAGACTGGGGGGAGAGACGGGTTAATACCTAGCTGTGAGACTGGGCCTAGCTGTGAGACTGGGGAAAGAGAGGGGTTAATACCTAGCTGTGCGCCTGGGGGGAGAGAGGGGTTAAAACCTAGCTGTGAGACTGGGGGAAGAGAGGGGTTAATACCTAGCTGTGCGCCTGGGGGGAGAGAGGGGTTAAAACCTAGCTGTGAGACTGGGGGAAGAGAGGGGTTAATACCTAGCTGTGAGCCTGGGGGGAGAGAGGGGTTAAAACCTAGCTGTGATACAGGGGGGAGACAGAGGGGTTAATACCTAGCTGTGAGACTAGGGGAGAGAGAGGGGTTAATACCTAGCTGTGAGAGTGGGGGGAGAGGGGGGTTAATACCTAGCTGTGACACTGGGGAGAGAGAGAGGGGTTAATACCTAGCTGTGACACTGGGGGGAAAGAGAGGGGTTAATACCTAGCTGTGCGCCTGGGGGGAGAGAGGGGTTAAAACCTAGCTGTGATACAGGGGGGAGACAGAGGGGTTAATACCTAGCTGTGAGAGTGGGGGGGGAGAGGGGTTAATACCTAGCTGTGACACTGGGGAGAGAGAGAGGGGTTAATACCTAGCTGTGAGACTGGGGGGAGAGAGAGGGGTTAATACCTAGCCGTGACACTGGGGGTAGAGAGAGGGGTTAATACTGTACCTAGCTGTGAGACTGGGGGGAGAGAAGGGTTAATACCTAGCTGTTAAACTGGGGGAGAGAGAGGGGTTAATACCTTGCTGTGAGACTGGGGGGAGAGAGAGGGGTTAATACTGTACCTAGCTGTGAGACTAGGGGGAGAGAAGGGTTAATACCTAGCTGTTAGACTGGGGGAGAGAGAGGGGTTAATACCTAGCTGTGAGACTGGGGGGAGAGAGGGGTTAATACCTAGCTGTGAGACTGGGGGGAGAGAGAGGGGTTAATACCTAGCTGTGAGACTGGGGGGAGAGAGGGGTTAATACCTAGCTGTTAGACTGGGGGAGATGAGAGGGGTTAATACCTAGCTGTTAGACTGGGGGAGATGAGAGGGGAGGGGGAGGGGTTAAGATTAAGATGAACTCACAAACTATCACGTCGATACACCGGTGAACAAGATATTGTCTACAATCATATCCTGCCTAACTAGTTTAATTTATTTAAAAGATTGGATGAACAACAAACTTCAGAAAATACAATCTTTCCATAAGACTTGACACCGAGTGCCTTAAATTATAAAGTATACATTATACATCATAACATCGTTGTTTTTTAGCTAATCAGCCTGGTTAAGCTCATATTGGAAAAACAGAACAAAAAAGCCGAAGAAGGGATGATGCCCTTTAACCCTCAGAGCGCCATCTTTGTTTGTAACCGGTGGGACCTTGTATCCAGGGATCAGTCTGGAATGGTGTACGCCAATGCTGTATCGTTACTACAGGACTGCTGGCCAGGACTGCAAGAGGAACAGGTTATTCGCTTCTCGACCTTTCGTGCCGAGATGGAACAGAAACTAGACAAGGAATACATCACTAATGAGTACAAAGCACTGCTAAACAGCATCCGGGAAATCTACACGAAGGCCGCACACAGGCGAATCGAGTCGACCTACAGGTAAATACGAGTGGACAATGTCATACTTACAAAGGGTAAAACCTCGTTATAATGACGCTAAGAAGAGGCGAGTGGAGTCAACCTACAGGTAAAAACGAGTGGACAATGTCATACTTACAACGTGTAAAACCTTGTTATAATGACGCTAAGTAGAGGCGGGTGGAGTCAGCCTACAGACAGGTAAGTACGAGTGGACAATGTCATACTTACAACGTGTAAAACCTCGTTATAATGACGCTAAGAAGAGGCGGGTGGAGTAAACCTACAGGTAAGAACGAGTGGACAATGTCATACTTACAACGTGTAAAACCTCGTTATAATGACGCTAAGTAGAGGCGGGTGGAGTCAACCTACAGGTAAGAACGAGTGGACAATGTCATACTTACAACGTGTAAAACCTCGTTATAATGACGCTAAG